TAGAGCCATTGATAGAACTCGTCGTATTTGTTGCTCTGCTATTCCCATCTTTATCATCGGGTGTAGCCTACAAAATGGTAGCCGTAAGAATTCATCAACATAACAGACGCAATAACACTTACACGTGAACTACTGAACGTGGTAAGGGAGTAAATTTATATGTCCGGTTACAAAAAGCTTCTAAATCATAGGATTAGCAATTATTAGCCTGCCAAGTAATATGGTGAGGTACGTATCGAAATTTATTGGCAGGGAAAGTAATACATCATTAAGTCCAATATAATCTTTAGCCGGGTACAATGGAATGTTGCTCGACAAATTAAGTCTGCTAAAGTAAGTTAGCCGGCTAATTTAAAGCTTTATATTCGTTTGTTATTGGTTATTAAAAACATATATTAACCGGCTACGTAAAAGGTAAGTATGCCAAAGTATGAGGTAGAAAAATTCTCGGTTAAAAGGTAAAACGGGTATGATATAGTGAGATCATATAGTGAGATCCTAAAAAAAGTTTATAAATTTGGGAGCATACCAAAGAACTTTAAAAGAATTAGCTCAAAAATAAACCAGAGGCACTTTAACATTCTTAACATAATCCGTAAAACAAAAACCCTACAACCTATATCCAAAGGCGTGTATTATTGGGCGGCCAAGTAATTGAATTGCCTACGTTATCGAAGGTAATATTATTGGCCGGGACAGTTTTTAATTATTGCATCCCTAGTTTTCTATAGCGGGTAAAGGAAGACATACCTTAACAGTGTCTGCCTGTAGATGTACACTGCCAGTCTGAGGTGCGCGCTTTGAGGCATTAGAACACCCCTCCTTCGACGTTTCATCTATATCACCCTGAAGATAAAAATTCGTGTTAGCCATGAAATATTGATTTTTTAGTATAAATGTTTAAGTAGCCGTATAATCGAAAACATACCTCTATGACTGAATCAGTTGACCGGTTAACAAACTTTAATGCATCAGAGATAATGTTGTATGGATCTGTTATGGTTTGTGTGCCAGCATCCACCGTGTTGGGCCGACAGTCTGCCCTCTGTGTAGATGGTACGGGACATGGACTGGCTATATTCCGGAACTCAGCCATAAGTGTTGTCACTCTCGCGAGACAGTCATCTACAACTGAAAAGAGCTCGCTGTAATTGGTGAGGACTGTCTTGGCAAAACCATTTATTGACTCCTGCATCACAGATATGTTTCCATGTACAAGCTGGAAATCATCTTTCAATTTCTGCCTGACAGCGGTTGCCAGGGAATCAATGTCTAGGCCATCAATCGGATGCGATGAGCTACTGGCCTTGGATTTTCCAGCCTTACGGTTAACAAGATCGACTTTTGATTCCTCGCGCATCCTAGTAACATCATCCCTTGTGGAACCACCTTGAAATAAGTCAGCTGTGAACTGGAAGTTCTGTTCTATGAGCTTGACCATGTTGGAGACACCAACATCATCTTCATCATCAGACCATTGGTAATCTTGATCAAGCTCTGTACCACCATTATCATCAAGCATGATAGATCGAACTACAGCCTGCGAGTTTACAAAAGACAAAACTTACTGTTTCTAGAAACTTTGCAGGACTATAATGCAAATTATTCAATTTCCAAATGATAAGGTTTCCAGAAATTAAATAAAAAAGTATATAAACGAGTTACCTGCCCTGCTGCGTCGATGTCTCTTGCATGACCAGGGCTGATGCTCTTTTTGCCAGCTTTCTCGCTATCGCTCCTATCATCTTCACCGTCAGATCCAGAGGAAGTGCCGTCTCCTACAACCTCTATAAGGGCCGGCACACATTCAATCATAACAAGTTGTACGGCCAAGACGAATCCCTTGAGAGCAATTGTGTTTTGCGTCAGGGAAAGCTCCTTTCTTTCTTTTATGCTTGTTATTAGTAACTCAAACGAAACCCTGCCCCACGGATGTGCAAAAAATTCATCTAAGTCTTTAATCTTCTCAGCACATGCTTCTGAGATCCGAGGTGTATGAGTGGTTGGAAGTAGGACTGCTGCGATCAGGGCTAGATAAGCATACTTTAGACGGATTTCTCTGTCGACAACGGTTTTCTTCTTAAGCATCCTAATGACGGAAGCGACAGGAATATCTTTAAGTGAACCAAATAGTTCGATCCAGTAGGGCTTGGTCGAAATGATGTTCTTCGCCGATCTTTTCTTCACTGATTTGGGAAATTTGTGGCAGTTTAAGCCCGTGACCAACGCGAACTCTCTAATTGAAAACCTTATTGGTTTCCCAGCGAAAAGAAACCACACCTCATGCTTCTTGGACACTTTCAGTTGTCTTGGGAGGATATACCTGCCAAATCTCCCCGAAAAACTGGGTTTCTCGGCGATTTCAATCAGCTTCCCGAATGGAGAAACCCTAACCAAATCCACTTCTTCCGGCTGCAGTGCATGGAGGATCTGCCTAATTGCGTTGGCCTTGTGGTAAGGAGTGACTCTAACGCCGGGAGGTTCGTGACCAGCGGCGAAAATCCTAGGTGGTATCGTACATCTACGGTGGCAGTCTCCGTCGCCTTCCTCCATAATTATGTAGACGAGGTGAATAGCGTTATAAATCGCCGGGTGCAATATTTGGCTTGAATGGATTTTGAATTGAGAAATATTTGAAATGGTTTGAAACAAGAATAAAATTCTGACACGAAAAAGGGGAGTTGCGGATTTTGCGTATCTAACAAAGATACGGGTTTATATCTAGGGTGAACGGGCAGGAAAGATGATGGGTCTGAAAGGGTAGCAGAGTAATAACAAGACGTGAACAGTTGGGTTTTGTCGCCCTTTGGTATTCTGCAAATTAGTGTAAAGTTCTTTGGTATGCTCGCAAATATCTCAATATTTTATTTCCTTATTTATGTCACTTTTCTTTTAAATATTACAAGAGATAATTACATGACGTGGACTCACCTTTACGTATTTTATCTTTTCATCTATTTTTAGATGATTACATACATGACGTGGAATCATCTTTACTTTACAATTGGTATCTATCGTCTGTGATAGAATATGTATGCAAAGTTATTGGGGAAAACATACTAACGATCTAAGAAAGCGTAATACAATAATTGGATAAAACTAGGAGACAACAACCTCACTGATTGTCCAATTCATGAGTATATCTTACGTTATGCTTAACACCAACCAAACTATAGTATGACTTACGTTTTATCAAAACAAAGCTCTATTGAGTATTGGCTGAACCCTTCTTGATTAAGCTGTATTCTATTAAGCAATTGTTTCGTAGCTTTAGTTCTACTAATACAATGTCCCATTGTTTCCCTAAGAAATTATAGGCTCATGCCCTTCAAATGACAATGAGGTGGATATCACATCACCCGCCCGAGTTTTCATCTTTAATAGGAACTGCATTTTTGTTGGATTAACCAGAAATGCGTGGAAAGAATCAGAAGCTACAAAAAGAAACGATGTCGTTTAAAGCACGAAAAACGGCAAGTAGTAACCTTAATTTGTCGTTGGCCTGTTTCAGTCCATTTCAAGGGTGAACTCTGAAATGAACAGCACAAAACCAAATTATGAAAGAATGGTCTCAACTTGATTGAGTAAGAGGATTGAATTGCATGCACGCATTAGAGCATAGTTATTACATCTATCTTATGGAAACAGGTTGGAAAGACGTGCAATAAGCACCCATCATGAAATAGCCACCCACGGATCAAAACCCTGAGTCGATAGACCGTGACTTGTGCATTCCTAGTAGTACAAAGAAAATACTCTAGACGAAATCGTTGTTGATTAATATCTACGAAGGCGTTGGAGAAATGATATACAGAGAAGATGATTAATAAGGTAGATCATTAACAAAAGAACTATCTGCTCACAAACTTAATTAGTTGCAAATACTGGTCACGTGTCAAAAGTCAAAATTAAAATTATGCGTTAGTATATGGAGAGTACGGTTTGTGATTCTGTGACATTCGCATGTCATTATGATATATACAACAACCATCAAAGACTTTGCCGAAACAAGGGAGAAACAAATTAAGAAGAAGAAAAAGCAAAGAGAATATATGCACAAAAAAATTGCAAGTTCAGGATTTGAAATGAAGTTCTCAATATCTTGGATATAACTATTCTAACAATTTTATGATCGATCTTCATACCAAATATATCCTAATACCTCGATAAATCTATCGCACATGCCCTAGAAAGTGGGTCTAAGAATCTCAAGCTACAACAATCGGTTTACAACTTCGTGACAAATCTGGTTTTTCTTACTTAACCATATATAGCTCAATCTCCAGCCCAGCTGGTGCAATTTAATGATTCCGAGAACCAGTTGGGCTGGAGCTAACTCCTGGTGTATCCTTTAATCCGTAGACAATTGAGATTGTAGTAATAATTAACCAACAATAACCAATATTTGAAGTTGGGAGTGTAGACAATGCTTTAATTGAAATGAAAACGTGGTCCAATGGATTCGGACAGTGTGTCCATGCTAGTTGGGAGAGTTGTGTGGTTTCGATGTTTGATACACGTGTCACTCAGTTACAAATTTGCATTAATTAGACGGTATTAATTTGTGACTTGTGAGTACTCTGAATTTGTTACGTAAACACGATACGGGTAGTAGTTGATAAGTGATTGACTACTAGAACAATTGTATCTGGTAGATAAGTTGATATCTGGTAAAAAGAACAATTTCTATAGTACACTTAGCTGATAAATTGATTGTGTCCCTTAATTAAACATTGCATTGAAATACATATCTGAAATTACGAAAATATGCAAGACAAATATAAAAGTTAACACTAGCTAGGTATATGGATACTTACAATGTGGTAGTAATGTTTACATATGACTGAAGGACAAATTCTCGCAGTTAGTAGAAGAAACTAAAAGGAAATGAAGTAAATGCATTTCAACTACCAACAACTAGCACTATTTTTACCATCTAAAATCCCCTATTTAAATCCATCATCAGCTTCTTCAGTTGTCATATCAAACAACAAAGCATATCAACAACTAAGCTAAATATCAATCTCCTTCACAAAACAAAGAAAAGAAAAACAGAAATGGCTTTGGCTCTGAGGTTCATCACATGCCTTGTATTGACGGTGTGCATTGTTGCATCAGTAGATGCAGCAATCTCATGTGGCACAGTGGCAAGTAGCTTGGCTCCATGTATCAACTACCTATCCAAAGGTGGGGTGGTGCCGCCTCCGTGCTGTGCTGGAGTCACTAAGTTGAACGGTATGGCTCAGACCACACCAGATCGTCAACAAGCATGCAAGTGCTTACAGTCTACTGCAAAGAGTGTTGCTGGTCTCAACCCAAGTCTAGCCGCTGGTCTTCCTGGAAAGTGCGGTGTTAGCATTCCCTATCCCATCTCCATGAGCACTAACTGTGACAAGTAAGTTTTTTATTTTCCTGATCTCTTTTTGTGAAACTTTACCTTCTCTTTTTTTTCGGCAGTTTAATTACATTTTCTTTATTGTCTTTTTTTTTTGCTTTACTTGATTTAGATAGAGACCATTTTTTTTATAGACATAACATGTCTTAATCGTTTGTGTTGTTGCAGCGTCAAGTGAAGTGGTATCTTAACTATATCAGCATGTGTATCGAGAGTATCTTTTAGCATTAAGTAAAATAAAATACGTCTATGGACGCTCGTCTCACACTACGCCTTTTGTATTGTGGCTTTGTGATCTTCTGCTTTCCTCAGTTGTATCTTAATATGTTTGAGATATGAAATATTAATCATCTTAATCCTATAATCCTATAATCTAATATACAATATTTTGATAACGAATTCGTCCGAAATAATAATATCACAACTTATATCCCAATAGTGACAGGTTGTTTTGAGTTAAATGAGATTGGTAAAAGCCTAAAAGGAAATATAAAAAAAATGTGATTCATCATAAAGGTTTTTTATATTCCCATTCGATGTGAACAGATATCTATCAAGTGAATCAACAGCCAGACAAATTGGTTTCTTTGACCAAAAAAAAACAGATTGGCTTCTAAAACTTTTATAAGTGGCTAAATAAAGAATGTACGTTGGTTATACAGCCACAAGGAATAGTATTAACAGTGAAAGGAGAATAATGTGTTTGTTCACACAGTACATACTAGATAGGACTACAACTAATAGCCGAAAAGCGATTAAATACCACCTACACTCTCAAGCAGAACCATTTTTTGGTACTATGATATAATCCGGGTCATGAAAAGATTTCTATTAAACATGTCAAATATATCTATACATATTTACGAAGTTTACATGGGACTTTGTTTAGGAAAACATAGTTTGGATTCCAGTCAAAATGTTCTGTTTAATTAAATACAATTATTTAGAATACATACTCTTTCTTGTGTGCATATACACTATTTTGAGAGACCTAATGAAAAGTTGAGTAAGTTCGTCTCAGCTGTGTATGTACCCCTTATATCGACGTGTTGCCTAGCCCATTTGGAAATTTTGGTTTCAATGGGCCAAAACTCGTTATGTGCTTTCTATAAGTATACTGTATACATGTATAAACACACTTTCTGTCGTTATTATAATTTAAAAACCACCGATGACAATAGAACCGAAACAAGATGAATAATTAAACAGCTAAAATGAGTTTGTGGGCGACGGTTGTCTAACCATTGGCTCTGTCTATTTATTATCTTATCCAGTCATATGTTCTGTGTTCCCCTCGTGGCTCTTCCAATTATTATTCCTCACAAAGCCTAACTTTCTAAAAATTGTTTTATATTTTCTCTGAATAATTCCGTTCCTCTCTTGCCAGTTTATTTACCACTAACGCAAGATTTAATCAATCCGCAGCCATTCGTGATATTGTTACCCATATATATTTTGTTGCAGTTTAATCCGTTTATATAATAATAATTGTAGAAACGAAATCATTTCATCTTAACGTGATTACCAAAGAGAAAAAAAAACGAAATAATTTCATATAGCTGTATAACGTTTTAAATAGTTCAAAAACCTACTTTTCCAAATGTTTGCCAGTTGCATGTAGTCATTGGATATATTTTCTTTTAGTAAAATTTTTCATCATTGTCAAAAATTTCGTTTACAAGAAAAAACAGTTTATTATTATACGACTCATTATCATGTTGTATCAAATACATTAAAGCTTTTAAAAAATAATAACATTATACAATATATAAACTTTTAAGCATACATGTATAATAACTGTTTAAGTACAAGATGTGAAAAGGCAAAAAGAACATTAAAAAGTGTATCCTAATTTATCTTTCTTTTATTTTCAAAATCTTGCGTTAAACCAAGAGCTGGCCCTTTTGTGCCAAGTATTACAAGGAACCCAACTTGTGAACCTAAATTGCTTTGAAAGAGAAGTTATCTATCTATATCACACATACATAACTTTATCTTTCTCTTTCAATCTGCTTACCATCAAAGTAAGTTTCCATCTTCTGCTCCTCTTAACAATATCAATTGCAGCCAAAATATCTCTTCTTTCCTAAAGCATTTCACACTTTTTTTGGTTTCATTTTCTCTATCTGATGTGAGAATTTTGGGTGAGAAAGATGAAGACTATAAGTGGGTTAGGGATAGGGTTGAGTTTGGTGTTTGTGTTTCTTCTCTTAGCACTTGTTGCAGAAATCTATTACCTTCTGAGATGGAAGAAGCACACGAATCTCATCATAAGCCAAGAGAGCCAAGAAGAAGCTGGGTACGCTAAGGAACTTATCCAGCTCTTCTGCTTCAAAAACCATCAACCTTTACATGCCAGCAATGGCGTAAGAGAAGCGGAAATCTCGAGGAATCAAGATATAGAGCTAGGGTTGATGAAACACTTGGGTGGAGGAGGAGGAGGAGGAGAAGTAGGGTTTGAAGCAGAGCTCATGAAGCTTCATAACCACAGGTTTCTCTTCACAATCATAGAAGAGACAAAAGCAGATTTGGAATCTGATGATGAGACATCAAGAAGCCTGAGTGATCTTCTGGTTGAAGCAAATGACTGTACTACCCCTGGTTTCACTCCTTTGGCTTCTCCTTGTACACTGAAGTCATCTCCCTTGGAGTCTTACTCACACCATGGATTCAATCCTCTGTTCGAAACAGAGGGTGAGCTTGAGTTCAACAAGTTCTTCAGGTCGTCTTCTTCTTCGCCTCCGCCGAAGTTTAAGTTCTTGAGAGATGCGGAAGAGAAGCTGAGGAGGAGAATGGTTGAAGAAGCTAAAAGGAGAGAGGAGACAGAGGGTTCGTTTATGAAGTTCTTGAGTCCTGAGATGATGAACAGAGAGAAGAGACAGAGTAGTCAAGAATCTGATAAAAAAGTGACGTTTTGTATTTCTTCTTCATCAGGTATATAACTCATAACGCTTAGACCAGAGATCCACACTGGTTGTTTAGTGTTAGAACTCTCTTGTTTTACTCCTTGATTTTTATTTTTTTAAAGAATTTCAATTTTAATTGTTTGAATTATCTTTGTTTTCTCTCATTCTGATTCTTTTTGGAATGATTTCTTCTGTATATATCAATCTGAAAAAAGTTTGCAGATGCTTCTTTTAATTTGGCTTGAGAAAAAAATTTGAGCTAGAAATTGGCTATGAATCTTTGTATCAAGTCTTTTACAAAAAAAAAAAAAAAAATTGTATCGAGTCTTCTTAACGAAAAAACCGCAATATGTATAATGTTTTGGAAAATAATTTAAAAATCGTCTTTGAACTTAAATAAAAATTTTGTTAATAATTCAAATCTTTACGGCGCCACAAATTTAAAATTTTCAGGTACTTCTAAATTATTACCTAGTTCAAATAAAAGGGTAAACGATAAAAGAAGTGCAATGTTTTTTTTTGGTAAAAAAAGAAGTGCAATGTTGTTTGATATGATTACTATAAATGCTTTTAAGTAATGTTCAAAAAAATGCTTTTAAGTAAGCCCGCAATTTTGACATACTTGCGATTACTACTTAATTTTGATGCTTTTTACTTTATGAAACTGCAAATAAAACATAACACTGTATATATTTGGACCACTTGAATGGACTATAAGCTTGTAAGAAAAAGAAAACTATATACATAAGAAAACTGTATACATTTTGTGTTGTCTGAACTAGAAAAATTCATGGCATAACACGATGTATCGCCGAAAGGTTTGTTTCCTTACTAATCATAATCGGAACCTCGAATAGTTTTCAGCTAAAGGTATTGTTTATTATGCCAAAAAGGTCTTGTTGGACCACGTACTACTTTCCAAAAGATTTTATTACTGGTGACGACGTTTTTTCTCGTCAGAAAATTTATCAATTTCGATCACTTCGACAAAAATGGGTGTTAGGCTCACAACAACTCGTTAAAATGCTTATGCTTGAATATATTGTACGACTAGTAAAATTCAAATCTACCCAGTTAAGTACTTTATGTGTATGGAACATGTAGACAAACAATTATCGTTACATATATTTAGAATGAAATATCTTTTAATTCGCAACAAATGAATTCTTCTGGATGTATAAACCATGTATGTGTAAAAAGCAACCAAAGATATATTATGCAAAAGTACATATACATACATACATACTTCTGCGCTTGAAAAAATGTAAGCATACGTATCTATGTTCAGTTAGTCAATTAGTATACATTTAACATACTGTCATATGTACGTATTCTATGACAACTGTGAACATGGCGACACGTGAAGGAAGAACCAAACTCAAAGAGACAGGAAAAGCGAAGGGGTCCGAGAACACACGTCAACATCGTTGGCCTCATCTTAATTACAATTTCAAAATTCGCGTTGGATACTGGAGCCCAACTTTGCCATAATTAACTATGATTCGTTTGGTAATCGTTGAATAAAGTATATGTGTTTTGTTGGATAAATGATAATGGGACTACAGTGGACCAGAAAATAAATGTGAAGAAAATTAGCACTTCTAAATGAGATTTTTAGCACTTCTATTGGAATATAATACAAGCGTAAAAAGAAAATTAATTAAAAAGTAAGAGAGAAAGTGAAGAAAGGTTTTTAAATGAGATTTTTTGAGAAATTTTATGAGATATGTATTTACACTACTAGTTCAATTTTTAAAAATAACTAAAAGTATTGTTTGAGAAATTATTAGAGGTTCTAAGCAATAAGGATGTTTTTATAACATGCTCTGCCTCTGTCATAATTAAAATTATACATGCAGACAAACAACAACAAAATACAAACATGCCAATTTCAACAAAATAAGTATAAGCCCTTGACACATGAATGTGGTTATTTAGTACGTCACCGTTATCATCTTAATAATCTCACGGCTCGATGATCCATATTTGCCCAATTCAACAACGAGTATCCACTAACCCGATATTTCCGGCGAACCAGGACCAAAACCGCCATTCTCGTTCAGGTTAGGCTGTAAAATATTCTCTTACCCAAAATAGGTGAACACGTGTTGTCAAACTCCTAAATATAGGTTCCAGCTAAAAACTAACGGCCAAGAACTGTTTGCATTTAAGCGATATAACGAGAAGCTCCTTTGTTCTATTCAGAAATTTTGAACCCATTCAGGGACGAGGCGTTTCAGGATCCAACTGTGTGATTGAAGAATGGCCGACGGTGAAGACATTCAACCGCTTGTTTGCGACAATGGAACTGGAATGGTTAAGGTAACGTTTCTAGAGATTGATATGTGTTACATGACTATATACTATAAAATACTAAAAGTAAGATATGTGTTTAGGCTGGGTTTGCTGGTGATGATGCACCAAGAGCTGTTTTCCCGAGCATTGTTGGTCGCCCTCGTCAC